AAGTTGTAGCTTTTTTATTTGGTTTAAAAAACTGTTGATTTTATTATTGGTTATTTTTATTTAGGAATATTATTTTGATTACTTTATAAATTTATTTAGTTTTGCTTTTTAATTAATATTTAATATTTACTAATTATAAAAATATAATTGATTTAATATACATTTTGTTAGTAAATTTTTTTATACAAAAAATTAATTATTTTAATTTATTTATAAAAAATATTGATTGCGCATTGATTTGTTTATTTTTTTAAAATTAAATATTTAAAGAAAACGTTATTTTATTTTTGTTTTTATATTTAAAAAAAATCTTTATTAAAATAATAAATCTTTTAATACCAAAAAACAAAGTTTTAAATATAAAATATAAATATGTTTAATGAAACTCAATTTTTTAAAGCAATTAAAATTATTTAATTTGAATTTTTAAATTTAATTAAATTTGCTTATTTATAACTTAATATTTTATCAACAATATTCTCATCTACTTTTAAATAAAAAACTGTGTTTTTTTATAAAAAATTATAAAAAAAGCGATTGTAAATATAGAAAAAAAACTTTCATTATATAGTCATAATTTTATTTTAAATAAGAATTCATTTACAATAAATACTATTAGAAATATATAATTCCTAATTTAAAGTAACTTTTCTTAATAGTCAAATATATTTATTTTATATCACTTTAGGATATATTTATTTAGCTACACTATAATTATACTAATTTTAGTAAATTCTAAAAGTTTTAAGAGGTTAAAAGAATTATTATTTTCCTATAAAATTTTTGTTTTTTAAAATGTAGTTTATAGTTTTATAAATAATGTTTTCATTAATCAGATTTCATCTAAAAGTGCAAAGAGTTACATAAAAAACGAAGTAAATATAAAATTTCATCAACAGTTGTTACCAAATCATTTTCGAAAGTTGCCATATAAACACCAATTTTATTTATATATGATAATTTAAAATTAACTATAAAAAAAATAAGTCTAGTGTATTGTATATTAGAAAAAACAAATAATCAAGTTTTGCAGAAACATAGCTTTTTATTTTGATTTATATGACATATAAGTGTAAATTGGATTAAGTAAATATGATTTTAAATCATTAATAAGAATTTAAAAATATATATATATATATTTATTAAATATTTACATATTATTATTAAATATTTAAACTTTTCTCTTATATTATTTTTAAATTATATATATATATATATATATATATATATATCTTATTAATCTATTTTATTTTGAATATTATAATGTATAATTATTTTTAAATAAAAAAATATAAAAAGTTTTTAATTAATATATATTTAAATTTTTATAATATTATAATATATAATAATGCTTTATTTTTGTTATTAGAAAAATAAATAATATAAAAGATTTAAAAATATAAAATATAAAATTTTAACAATATTAAAGTTTTCAAAATGCAAAATTTATTTTGAAATAATTTTCTAATTAATTAAAATAATTAATAAAACATTTTTTCTATTATAAAAAAACTAAAAATAATTTGATAAAATTAACTTTTAAATAAAATAATAATTGTTAGCAATCATATATATTTTTTAAAAAACATAAAATTATTTGTATTAATTTCATAAGTAAAATAATTTAAATTTACAATTATTTTAAAATGTTTTAATAATAAATATTTGGAAGTGTTTTTAGTTATAATATTTAAAGAAAATTTTAAAATAAAAACTATAAATTTGAAAATAATAATAATAAAACTATTTAAGTTTAAAATTTTTAAGTTATATCTTTATTTAAAGAAATAAAAAATAAAAATAGAACATTTATAATAAATATCTAAAAATAATAAATTAATTAAATATTTTTTATCATAATTTTAATAATTAATGTTTAAAACAAAACATAATTAATAATTTTAATTTATTATTTGTTAAAATAAAAATTAAATATTTTTAAATTAATTTATTATTTTTGTAATAATGAGTATTCATTATAAATAATCAATACTAAACACAATCAATAAAAAAAATAATTACTTAATAACTATTTAAATATTTCCAGTATCATCTCATAGAGAATTAATTATCATTAATTTCTTAGTATTATTTTGCAAACTAATTATAAATATTAAGTGATATATTTGTTGCTTCTACTTTCTAGTGTATCTTTTAAAATTACTGAATTTACTATTGTAACTAACATGTGATTTATTTTTATTAAATTGATGATATTAATAAAAACCATCTTAACATTTTAAATATTAATAAGATTTATGATAAATATAAATTACATATTCTTTTAACAAATATAAATTTAATTATTTTTTTTTTAATATAAAGTTACAATAATTATTTTATACATTTTTTTAAAAATAATTTATTTTCACTAATATTTTTTTAAAAAAATAATAATATTAATTTATTAAAAAAATAAATTTTGATTTTATATTTTTTTATAATTTTTTATATAGTGAATATATTTATAATTTCATGATTTATATATTATTAATTAATTATTCGTAAATATAATTAATTAAAATAATTATAGATTAGAATTATTAATACATACAAATATAATTCATAGATTTAATCTTAAAGAAAAAGCCTCGCAAAATCTTATTAGATAAATTTCTATATATATATATTATACATATATATAAAAAAATCAAACAAACCTTATATAAATTAATAGTAAAATTATTATTGATTTATTTATTAGGTAATATGTAAATTAATACAAAAAATTATTAATTTTATTAAATTTTAATAGATATTCTTTTTAATAATTATAGTTTTATTATAGTAATTTTTAAATATAAATTTTAATGTAAATAGTATTAAATAAATATAATAAAAATATTTATTCTTTTAATTTATAAGTTTAATATAATATTCTATTATTCTAAGAGTAATATATTTCTTTTCATTTAAGAAAATAATTTGTTCATATTTAAATTTTCTTCTATTTTTATTTTTTATTTTTACTTAAAAAAATAAAATTAAAATGTTTTATAATTATTGAAAACTGATATTTTAATCTTAATATTTAAAAAGATATTTTTTTTTAAACTTAACATATTTATTGTTTTTTAAAATATAAAAATCAATTTAAATAAACATAAGAAATTTATAAATTAAAAGGGTATTATTATAAAATAAAGTTTCAAAAGAATAATAAATTTTCGAAAAATAAATAAAAAAAAAAATATTAAATATTTTTTAAATAGGAATATTCTGGATGAGAATAATATTATAATGATCTTATTAAGGTTTTTAAAAAATTAAACAAACCAAAATTCTTACTAAAAATATTTAAAAATTACATAATTACTCTAAACTGAAAAATATACGACTTTTCTGTCATCTTAAATAAATAATATATTTACATATATATTTAATGATATATAATAATTAAGAGAAGCATAATTAGCACTTATAATACATATTTAATTCTTAATTAACCAAGTTAAGCTGAAAGTAGTATGATAAGTAGTGGGACCTTAGGGTTCGATTCCGGTAAATGCCTAATTAAATTACAAACTTCTTAGGTGAAGGTTTTATGCTGTTTCCCTCTAAGCATACCTAAAAATACTAACTAAAGAACCTGTAGTGCTGCACTATTATTATTTATTGAGTGATAAGACGCTTTTATTCCTTGTCAGAAATAAATATAATAATGATTTTATGGAATAAAATTAATAAGAAATTCTTAAAAAATATTTTTGATATATTTAAGAAGAAAATTAATATTTAGAAATTATTATCTCTAGAAATAGAATTTTTAAATAAAAAAAAATTACTTTGTTAAAATAATTCTGAATAAAAAAATTATAATTAAAATAAATCAGTTGTTTTTTTTAAAAAAAATATTCATGAATAATATAAATCAATCTGTTATCTTATCTTATATTTAGAAATAAAAATAATTGGATAAAAGTATTTATTATAAAATAAAATATATAATTAAAATAGAGAAAATAAAATTGTAATATGTAAAATATGAATAATATTTAGTTTAAATAATATTAAATACTAAATTTTTTATATTTTTGCATTATAATAATTTATTCTTTAAGAATATTATAATTTATTTAATTTAATAAATTAATATAAACGAAAATAAAAATATAAATAAAATTAATTTTAAAATAAGTATAAAGTATTTTATTTATCACTAAACAAATTAAAAATTATTTTATAAAATTAGATTTTTAGTATTAAAATTAATGAATTTAACAAAAAAGTAAAAATATTTTATATATATAATTTTTTTTTGGAAAATAATTATAAAAATATTAAAAAAATCTTTAGTAAATTAGAAAAAATAAATAATTACTTTAAATCGTTTTAGAAAAATTAAACTATGAATAAATTATAGTATTATTAACATATAGAAATTATTGATAGAATTTTTTTTTAATAATAATAATAAAATAAATTAAAAAAACTTTTTATCTATTATAGTAATGATTTCTAAAAAATTTTAAGTTAAATTTTTATTTAAAAAAAAAGACATGTAAAATAAAGTCTGAAAATAAAAATACAAAAAAATGAATAAAAATTTATAGTTTAATTTTAATAAATAAGAAATAAATAATTTTAATAAATATAGATTTAATATTAGTTAAATAAAAATATTTTTTAAAAATATAATAAAATATTAAATGAGATAAAAAACATATTCTTTAAAAATTAAATTCTAATTATAAAAATTTATGATTTAAAAATAAAATTGAAAATTTATTATTTTAATAAAATAAATTTATATTAAATATATTAAAATTTATATTAAATTTTATTTAAATTAAATTTATTTTAAAAAAATCATAATTTTTAGTTTAGAACTATATTTTTATTATAAAATATATAATTTATAATAGATTATATGCAAAAAATAAATATAAAAACGAAATATAGAAATAATGAATATTTTTTTTTTAAAAAAAATTGAAAATATTCTATATTATAATTAAATATATAGATATGAAAAATAACTTTTTTTTCTTTGTTTTTTTCAAAATCATCACAATAATATCATCCATTTAAACACTAATTATTATTGTCATTAAGCTAAAATCCTTCTTTGCATGTAATGCATAGATTTCTATTAATATTTGAACAAATTTTGCAATTTCCTTCACAAGTATATGTCAAAGTATATTCACAAACACCCAAATCATAATTAGGAGAATACCCTCGTTTTTAATCACATTTATCAACACACTAGCTTTCTTGCAATAACGTCATAAACTAGCATTTAGTACACTCATTAGCTAATGGTCCTTTACATTTAGAACAACTCCTGTGACATGGTTTACATATTCTATCCTTTCCGAATAGGCCTAAAGGACAATCTAATTTGCAAGTATTATCTGGATTCAAGAATTTACCTTAAGGACATTAGCCTTCTAAACAAGTATTATTATCGACTACTCCAGAGCATTCTATGGAACAGTCAACTCCTCCAAATCCGTCTTAGCAGATGCATTGACCGTTTACACAAACGCCTTTTTATGAACAGAAATTTGAACATATAGGAGTATAATTACAAAATCTTTCATAATCTTAAGGACAAGTGACTTAACCTTTAGCTTTTTCGCCACTTGAATCAATATCCTTTTTTGTATTTTATTCTCCTTTTCCGCAAATAACTTATAAATCAATTTCGGGGAAAATAATAGTTATTTCCGAAGCATCGGAAGAACATTTGAATTAATGACATCTGGATGCATCTTTATACTACTTTGTAGATGAAGACTTTGTAGCTGTAGATTAGAAGCATTTACTTTGAGTAGAATAATTAAATAATTTATCTTATTCTTGTTCTCTTTCATCTTAATCACTTACAATATTCGGATTTGTACATAATTTATCTTTATAAAGGCCTAATCCAATATTACATTAGTTTATTTCTTACAATATAGGAATACCAATTCTTTCATAATCAAATGAACATTACACTTAATGAACTAAATAAGAATATTCATCATATTAGATTGTACTTTAGCAAGTGTTTTCTAAGAAATCGCAACCTTTTCCTTTACCCCAGAATATTTTCTCTGCCATATTCTCATTTACTTCAGCGTAAAAGCCTGTGTCTTTCAATGCAGCAATTGTAAATATAGAAAAAACATTGTCAGTTAAAACTTAATTTTAATTCATAAATTCATTATAAAGAATAGTTAAATCCCAACGAAATTCGAAATATCTTTAATATTTCTAATTTAAATAATTTTTAAAATATAATATATAAATATATATATATATATATATATATTTATATATTTATATATATATTTAACATCTATTTATAATTTCATTCCTTCAGCTTTAGGACAATTATAATATTTTCTAGTAATTTCTTTTAAATGTTTTGAAGTTATAAATTCTATTGTATCCTTTTCTATTTATTTTTTTTTATAAATTTTAGTTAGGTTATCTTTATCAATTGTTTTTCCAGTATCAGGATTTATCCAAAAGTATAATCCTAGTTTTGAGACTCCGAGTATATTTATCATTTCACGAAAAGTTTCTTTCAAATTTTTCTAGAAATATTCTTCATCTCCACTTATTTTTGATAAGTTATATTTAATATATCCAAAAATAGGTCTAGAAATACCTTCTTAAGCAAAAGCACAAAAATTAGCAATAGCAGTTTATTAATCATTTTTTACATATTAATAAAGTGTGTATATATGTAAATCTGAATTAGGAATTCCGATTGAATAATCATTGGGCTAAACCTTATGATCATCACATAATCCTTTATATGTCTAAGGTAAAACATTATTTTGTTTTAATTGATATACTTTTAATAGTTTTTAGAAATAAAGTTTGGATATTTCTACAAGCTTTACCAAGTAATTTCTTTATTATAGGGTTACGTCTTTATTAGTCAACATGGAGTAATCTGTAGTTATTCTTATAGGTTTAGGCTCGGTATCTGTTTATAGAATACGTTATTCATAGTTTGATTTTTCCATTTTTTTTAAATTTGGTAAATTTTCTCATATTAACCTTCGATTTTTTTATTATCATGACTATATTTACCGTGAGAATAAACAAATTTACTTAATATTAAGATAGTTATTAAAATAAGTTTATTAAGCATTTTTATTTTATTTTTATTTATTTATTTTTATTAATCCTTATGATGTGATTTGTATTTATATTATAAATAATTTCTATATTTTCATTATATATAGGTAAAAATTAAAAAGAAATTTATTTATTTTTTAGGGGAATTTTTTTTTTTATTTCATAGAATTTTTTTTTAACAAGTTAAGATTTATAATAAATAAAACATAATATAAATTTTTATGTTAATAATTAAATATAAATATAGTTAAATTATTATTTTTATTTAATAATATAATAATGATAATTTTTGAAATTCATTATTACAATGTTTAAAAGAAAAAAATTATATAATTAAAACATTTTCTTTATATATAAATCAATTTTATACTAATATATATATATAAATTAATTAAAAAGTAATTAATAAATATGTGATTATAATTATATAGAAATTATATAATTATTAAAAAAATATAAATATTATATTATAAAATTTTATCAATTTTTCTATATATTATTATAGATTTTTTTTATTCTATTTTTTTTTAATTAATATATTTATTTTTAATTTATTCTAAAGATATTTTTAACATTTGTTAATTGATATTAAATTTTTTTTTTTTAAAGCAATGATATATAGAATAATTAAAATTGATAACCTTTATAATATTTATTTTATTATTTAAATAAATAATTTTGAATAAATCCTTAATATTTTAATAAAAATTATTGTTATAATTAAAAATATAAATTTTATTATTTAATTTAATTCAATTTATTTTTTTATATTTATTTAATATTTTGTTTAGCTTCATTTTTATAACTTATTTTTTTATATTTGTTTATTTTCGAATATAATATTGATTAATTCAATTATAGATTAAATTTATTTATATATAATATTTTATTTTATTTTTAAAAATTTTAACAGAATTTATAAGTTATGTGAAATGATATTAATTAAATTTTTATATTAATATATAAAAATTTAAATTATATTTTTAAATTATTAATACATTATATTTTAAAATTCTGTTATTTGCTCTTAAACTAATAATATTTTTCTAAATAAATAAATAATATTTTTAAATAAAAAATATTAACTTATAATAATTATATAATTTAAAACATTTTTTTTTTACTGTAAAAAAAAATTAATTGTTAATAATTTTTTTAAACTGCAGATATTTATTTTATAGTTAAAAATAAATAATTTAATTATAATTTGTAATAGATTTTAATTCTTAATTATTTATTTTAATAAAAAAAAATATGAAATATATACCTCAAAAAAATTGGATGGTATATAATAAAAAAAATATTTTGTAAAAAAATATAATATAATTTATTAAAAAAAAATATAGAAAAATATATGTTGAAACGAAAAAAAAATAATTTAATAAGAAACAAAAAAAATAAAAGTAAAAAAATTAATAAGAAAGTATTAAAATAATATTTTATTAATGCTATTTTATATTTTAAATGAAATTCATGTAAATAAAACAGAAAAAAAAAAAGAATAGAATTAAACAAAAATGAGGAGCGATATCAAATTTATAGAGTAATTTTGTAAAGATAAAATATATTATAATAATTTTTTTGAAGAAAAAAATAAAATTTAAAATATCAATTAAAAATATATATTAATAAGTATTTTTTAATTAATTAATATTATAAATTATTAATCAATTTTTAAACAATATTAACATTTCTTTTAAGTGGTTATTCTTAAATAAAAGAATGTTTAAAATGCTTTTTCTAAATATATTATATAAAAAAAATATTATAGGTAAACTATTAAATAATATTTCTGTAATTGATTTAAAATATAAAAAAAAGTTAAAAAAATAAATTAAAATACGAAAAAATAAATAAAAATAAAATCAATATTATTATATATAAAATATTTATAATAATATAAATATATATATAATATATATATATATATTTATATATCTTTATATATTTATATTTTTTTTTTTTAATATAACTTATATTTTAAGTATTAAAATTATTTTTCTTTATATTAATATTTTCATATATATTAAATATTAAAAAATAAATTATAATAATAATTATTTTTTATTTTACTTAAGTTATCTTTTTTTTAATCAATATTTTCCTTGTTATTTTTCTATTAATTTTCTCCATAATATATTATATGCCATATTCTTATTTATAGCTTTTTTCAAACCTTTGTTTTTTAAACCATTAAATGTAAATAAATTCTTTTGTTTCATCCATATTTTTTTTTAAAAAATTTTTGTTTCTCAATTAATGTTTAGTAATTTAAACTTATTTTTTCTAACTTTTAATGTATTTTTTCAATATTTAATATATATATTATAAATTATTTTAATTTATATTTCTTCAGTTGAAGAATAATTATATTATTATATATTAACTTTTTAGCGTTTATAAATTAAAAGAGTTTTTTATTTTCTTCTATAAGTTTTAGTTTTTTAAAGTTTAGTTTTTAAGTTATTTCTAGTATCATAAAATATCCAAAAATACATAGCGCTTTCTGAAAAACTGATTAAATTTAAATCTTATAAATAGTTTTTAGCAAATCATCCTAGATAGTATTTTATTTAATAATAGATTATTTAATATTCATTAAGTTAAAATCAATTCTTCCAAAAGTTGTTTTAAAATATCCTATATTAGAATAAGTACGAATTCCAGCATATAAAATCGTATATCTATATGTTTTGTTAAAAATGAAGTATAAATTTGAATCGGAATTAGAAATTTTTTATGTTTAATTATTAATATAAACTCAAAAACAATATATTTATTCTAATATCAAATGAAAATGTTTATACTGTCATGATATGCTTTCAAAAGTCTTTAGAAATATACATTAGATGTTTCTATAAAATTATTATCAAATAGTTTTCTTATTATACAAATATTCTTTTACAAATATAATTTAACATGGTATAACCTTTAGTTATTTTTATAGGCATAGGCTCATAACTTATTTGAATAACAAGTTAGCCATGGTTTGATTTTTCGATTTTTTTTCTTAAGTATGTACATTTTCATAGTAATCTTTTATTTCTTTCTTTGATAACTAAATTTAAGGTAAATATAAGTTAATTTACATAATATTAAAATATTTATTGTTTTTTATTATTTTTAATATTTTATTTTATTATATATAATATTTGATTCTTAGAAAAAATTTATTTATATTATTTATTATTATTATTTTTTAATT